AACATGCGCGACGGCGGTGTTATGCCCCTACGCTGGGCGCGTCTCACGTACTTTTCGTACATGTCCTGGACCTTTTGTACCAGTTTTTGCGCTTTTGACGGGCTCACCTGGCGCAGCTGGTAGCGCTCATGGTCGGCCTCCGCCGACTGGGTGCGTTGAGGGTTCCTGGGACTGGCCATGAGGGCTAAATAGAAAATGTTTGAAGAAACTGAGATGTAGGTGCGGAAGCGTTGGAGTACTCGACTCCGAGGTCTTTTGACCGGTTGGTCTAAGATACCAAAGTTGTAACAAAGCTTGCAGTTGGCAAGCAGTTGCGAAAAAGGAAATTATCCAACGATAAAGGTGGTATTGATAAATACCGTTTGGTATTGGAAGATTATGAATAGTTCTTGGATGTACCGTTGGTACGATACCGTTGGCCCGGTGAGCCAAGGGCCGCCTTAGCGGCGTTACAACTACCGTATCAGTCACTGTCCTCTGGCCAATTCCGGTCTGCTCCTCCCGCGCCGCACTTGCCGTACTACACTACAGGACGAGCACTTAATCAACATGCAGGCTTTATTCTGGATTCAGTCGGAGCACCTTGCTTGTAATTTTGCACTGTGATTAGCGTTATGATTAGAACAGACTTGCCATTATATTTTACCCGAATCCCTTGTGCAGAAGATGGAAGGCAGCCCAAGTGAAGTAGGTCCCGCACACGCCGTGAGTGAGGCAGCGAGCGCAGAGGCGCACCCCGATGATCACTTTTCAGATGATGAACAAGAAACGGAGCTCGACGCTCTGCAGCATCTTCCCCCGGAGGAGCGGCGCAAGGCGCTCCGGTACGAATTGCCTGACCGCTAGTTCCAAGCTGTGTACATCTATGCCGAGCGGTGGTATCTATAAGGAACCATATGAAGCGGTAAAAGTATCTCACCGAAGTTCGCGGGTTCACAATATCTGCAGGCGCCTCCGCAACCGTGAATCCGCACGTCGTGTACGCGCTCGGCGACTTGCAGAGATGTCGCAGATGGGTACAACCCTTCAGAGTTTGCAAGATGAAAACTCAACATTAAAAGCGCATGTTAACAAGTTGCAATCGCACATCCAGTCCATGACGCTCAAGGTGTACGAGGTTACCTCGAAGTACGAAGCGGCTGTCGCGGAGGCTGCGCAGCTGCGCGCCGAGCTGAATCGCTATCGTCGGGTAAGTTCCTCCTACCATCTTCCCCCCGGAGAAGAGCCCGCCCTCTTCTTGGGTAGCTTGGACAGCCAACATCCATGCGCTGCGCGTTGTGTTTTGCTTCCCATCACACGGCGCTCCTGCATCCAGAGTTTTGCTTACGGTTCACCTGACTGCGACTTGGGTCATTTCCCATTTGGGTCACCTCCATTTGGACCATCTTTTCAACATTACTTCCTCTGTGCCGGTACCATTCCTTAGAATGCCTTGGTCTAGCCCTTGGACACCGTGATGTAACGGCTTAGTAACGGTCTTGCAACGGTCTTGTAACGGTCTAGTCCTGGCACGGTGAACCTCCGAGGGACCGTCCCCCACTCATGTCCAGCCCTCTATGCTCCTGCTCCCCCTTGGCTGCTTCAAGAAGTAGAAAGAAGAACAAAGGAAGAAGAGAAACATCTGTTTCATGGCGTTTTCTCCTTGCATAGTTTCGTCTATAAGCTAACATGTGCGTCCCGCCGATTCCCGTCCGCGTTCCGCCGCCCGCCTTCTCCCCATCATCCGCGCCCGAACCCATTCCCTGCCCAGCCCTCCGTGCCCGGGGACAGCAGCTTCCTTATGGGCGCTACAGCCGCCACAGCGGCCCAGACTGCCAACGGGCCCAACTCAGCGCCGCTCAACCAGCTATCGCCCTTCATCAGCCCCATGGAGATTGGGGGAGGCGGGCTTGGCGCCCAGTCATGCCTTTCGCCCAGCCATGTACAGCTTCGCAGCAGTAGCCCCATGGAAATGCAGCGGCAGCGGCAGGCGATTGAGGAGGTGGTAATGTTGTTGAAAGAGCACAAGCGGCGGCACCATCCAGGGCAGGTAAAGAAGTCTGGGAAAATGGAGAAGGAGAAAGGGAAGATCTTAAGGAACAGTTTTGGGGATTTGGGTTCGGAGCTGCGTTTCGTGTGCCATCTATACTCTCCGTCTTCCTCCATTATACACCCATCCGCGCATTGCATTGTGATGATGAGCACCGACCCACCGACCCACGTGCGGAGCCTTGCCCACATTGTCCTCCATCCCCCTCCTCTCCTCATCCATCCACTCCCCGTTCACTGCTTTGAACTCCAGGAGTTGGTGCCGTGGACGGCGGCCGTTGTGTTCTCTTTTGCTTCTGCTGCATGTAATGCCACCCTCGTCGTTCTGTCACCGTCCTCCTCCTCCTCCTGTTCCAACAGGACCGCTCTGGCAACTCGGAAATCGGCTCTAACGGCGCTGGGGCTGCTGGAAGCGGCGGCGCATGTAACGTCACTAATCACCAAAGCCCTGGCTCCGACACGGCAATGCCCGGCGGAAGCGGCACCGGGGGCCCCCTGGGCGACCTCGCTGCCGGTGTTTTAGCGACCAACAACAGCACTACTGCCAACAACAACAACGGCTTGATGTTCAACGTCGGCAGCATGTCTCGGTTCATGGGGGCGGCTGGGACTGGCGCCGTGGGTGCCTCGGGCCTGGGAAGCGGCAGCGGTGGCCGCAGTAGCCAGTCGGAGGTACTCACGGGCTCAGTCCAGCACTCGCAGCTCATGGCACAGGTCCAGGCACGTATGGCGGCGACGGCTGCCGCAGCCGCCGAATCGGCCGGTGGTGTTTCGTCTGTATGCACAACCTTCTTATCGAACAATGTGCACAATATGGGCGCACAGATGCAGCAACAGCAGCTCCTGCAGGAACAGCAGCCCCTGCAGCAACAGCAGTCGCAGCCGCAGTCGCAGCGGTTGCCGCTAATGACTATGCTTCCCCAGGCGCAGCCGCTTCCGCAGCACATCCCGCAACTGGACAACTCGGGTCCCACGGCGACGCTCAGCTTGCCGCTTCCCGGCCAGCAGCAACAGCAACAGGTGGTGTTGGGACAGAGCAACAGCCATCCACTCATGCAGGTGCAGCCACTATCATCCTACCAGCACCAGTTCTCAATGGTTGGGCAACAACAACAACACCATCAGCACCATCGACAGCAGCAGCAGCAACAACAACAACAACAAACGATGGCTTGCGGGCAGCAGCAGGGCATCGACTCGGGTGCGCTGTACGGCACCATGTCGACGTTGTCCCTCTCGGCCCCTTTCTACTCTGCAGCCTCGGCCTTGCCGTGCACTGGCAACGGCGGCGGATTGCAAATGACCGGACACGGCTCCGGAGCCAATGCACTCGGCAGCGGCATGTCCGGGGTCGGCCCGGTGGCCGCAGCGCCTGGTTTCGGAGGCCAGCATCAGCAGCACCATCACCGCAGCGCATCGTGGGCTCTGGACAGGGGAACAGCCCCGTGCGTAACCAGCGCTCAAAACGTGGTGCCCATGCATCCTACATGGCAGATGAATGCCGGCGCCGGGGCCGGCACTGTCGATGGGGGGCTAATGATGCGACCTGAAGACTTTGCGGAGGATCTCATGTTCCTGGACGATTACGTTCCACAGGACTTGTGAAGGAGGAAGAGGTCGAGGAGGAGGAGCGCCATAAGGCTGACGTGGGATGAGTACGAGGCGTACGACAACGGCAACGAAGATTGTAGTACGGATATGGGTGCTGGTGAGATGGGGAGTATCTACGAAGTCTGCAATGGCAGGCCTCGCTTCTCTCGTTCCGTGCTTAAAGAAAGAAGATAAAGGACACACAGCCCTGCGCAGCGACAGCAGCAGTGGCGGCAGTGGGCCCTGGCATAGTTTCTACGACGCGCCCTGCGACCGCGATTCGCGTGGTGAATTCCAACCATCCAGGTCTCTTCGCCTTCTTAAGTTTGAAGTCCTTAAGTCTTGGGTGGTGTCGAGAGTCTTTGGCCTTAAGGGTCTCCATAATCTCGAGCGGCGAATGGCATGTGTGGGGGAGGGGAAGGGGGAGGGGATCTCCTGCGCAACACGTGGCATGGCACGCGAAGGCGGCCCCGATTGGAAGATTCATGACGCGACTGGCTACGAATTCGCCGTTCCGCCGTGCGTCCGTCTTCGATGCGTTTTGGGGTTTCCAGGTCGTGTGTGGGTTCGTGAGCTCCCAGGGAGAGGGTGTCTCATTGGCTTTCAACCTGTGTGGCATTTACAAGCCTTGAAGCGATGGAAAGCAGATAGCTCGAGTATGGCGCTCTGCGGGATAAAGGACCGACCGAGAACCGTCTCAACAGTACGGGCCCCGCTCTTCACCAAACAGGGCTCCCCATGCTTGCCTCTTTGTTATTAAGGGCAGAAGAAGACTCGGTTGCCGTGGAAGCCTGCCGCTTCTCCGTGTATCTATGTTGTCCTGTCGGTGCCGGTGCCGGTGTCGGTGTTCCTCTTGTGTGTCCTCTAACAGCCCGAGGTGGAGGTGGTGGAGATGGAGGCAGATGTGTCGCAGTCATTTCTGGGGTCTTGGGCATTGGGGTTGTTGTGAGAAAGGCGAAGTTCAATCTGGCAGGTGAGCTACAGGTGACCAGCGTGGTGAAGCCGCGAACACGAACACGGCACCAGCAGTAGTTGCAACAACAGCCGTGGCGGTGGCCGCGGCAAAGGCTCGCTTGCTCGCTGCGTTAGCGAAGCTGGGGTCGGCTGTGCACAGTATGGCTATGGGGTGCGGCGAGGACGTGCGGCTAAGTAAAGGCGAGGCGGGGCGGAGCGAGGGCGGTGCCCGACCGACGTGCCGTGAGGAGGAAAAGTCGGCGATAATTCAATCATCTGTCTGTCGTGCTAGACCGCGGTCTTGCCTGTCTGCCTGACTGCTTTGACAAAGCAGATTAGGGAGCGGATGATGTGGTCACTTGGTGTGCGTGGCGTGGCGTGGCGTGGCGTGGATGAAACACGGCGTGGATAGGACGGGTCGGTAGGCAGCTCGCGTATGTGCTCGTTGTATGTGCTCGTTGTATGTGCTCGGTCAGAGCGATGGCGCCGTTTTGGAGTTACAATAATCATCTTTTGTAGCTATGATGGTATTGCTAATAAAAGCCGCCCGTGCGGTGTTTTTTCTTGGGGAGGAGATAATAAGGAACCAAGCGAACCGTGGCTCGGGAAACGTAGCAGCTACGCCGCCAGCCCCGCTATACCATTATTCAAATCGTGTATGATGCCGTACGACGGAGGGTGATGACATAACTAAAGGTACCTCTCATAGGTACCCTGAAGGCATGCATCCTCAAGCCCGGAGGTTTGGAACCAGGGTTTTTTTTGTTGTTTTTGTTGCTTGTTGACTTTGATACCCGCGCATTGGAGTGCGACACGGTGCTGTATAATCACATAGGAGGCATGTTAACGACGACGATGCCGATGCCGGAAGGGCTGGTGTGTGGACGCGATGCCGTGTCGCGGTGCGATGCGACACAATACACGACATGTCTATTGTGTTGGCGGGGAGGGAGGGAAGTAAGGTTGGGAAAAGAAGACGGGCCACAGAGTTTCGCAACAGCTCTTTCTTAACAGTTTTTTTTGGCGTGATGGTCACTTCCACAAAGTTCACACGCGGATTCATAAACGTAAGGCCCGCCCTGGTGTGTGGATAGCACCATGCATATGTGTACAGCACCATGCGTCTGTATACGTGTACGTGTTCTATGTGTGGCTCCCTGTGTGGCTGCCGAGTATGTATGTATGTATGTATGTATATGCGAGATAATGATTTTGTCAATTGGAATCGCGGACACAAGGAGCTTTGCAAGTCGTGTCACACCGTGCATTATAAAATGCCTGTTGGAGGGAAGTTCATGGCCCGAACAGCGGTAATGACTCTGGGCCCCCCATGAGGGAGTGTGCGGTTGCCAGGGCGGGCCATGGGCCGTCGGGGGCCATGGCGGGGTGGTGCCAGTTTCAATGCTTTGGGGTCCCCACCCGGCTTCACTCTTAACATCTCCCCCCCGCACACACGTACACATACACCGTTTGCTGAATAAATATATGGAGCTCTGCTTCGGTGAAGCTCTGCTGCCTTCTCTGCGGGGCAGGACCACGTACGATGTATCGGAATCACGTCTGTCCGTGTTGCGGCATCGGGTAACGAGTGCTGGAAGCTAAGAGAGGTGAATGACAGTGTGCGGTTTGTTATGTGGGAAGCGGGAGGCATGTGTGGTGGTTGCGTTGGGAAGCCTGTGGTGGCGATGGCGTGGGGGTTGCGAAGAGCTTTCGGCCCATGATTCTTAGCAGTGCCAGCCTGCCTTCGGTGTCCCAACTGTCATGGCCTCCTCACGTGTCTGGGTTAAGGTTGCTGGGCGGTCAAGTATGAAACGGTCGGGAGCTATATCAACGTCGTGTCGGCAGGTTTTCAAAAAAGGTGTTTCGGCCGGAGGCGGCACCGCAGGCGCCATTAGCGCCGCGACATGGAGGTTGAGGTTGAGGTGGTTGTTGCGCACCACTCGTGTATGTTTTGTTGGGGCATTCCCAGCAGCATGTCTTGTTGTGTACTTGACGCCGGCTGGGCCGTCCAGAGTTATGAAATAATGTGTTTTGCAGGAGTTTTGTAGGATTGTTCTATAATATTTAAATTAGTGTCGTGCGTTGTTTTGTTGTGCATGCATTTTGGGAGGTGCGCAAGTACAGCCCCGCCCTCATACTTGGCGCCAACGCTTGCAAGTTGTTGCGTTTGGCCCTGAATTGGTACTTGAGTCCGCACCTTACCGACGGCAAGAAGCATGGCGCGTTTTAGAATATATGCCCTCGCATACATAAAACACAGATTGTCGCACACATTGCAGTACACACATCGTCGTACGTCGCTGCACCAATAAGAACGGGGTTTGCTTCCATGCTGCGCGTCCCGGCATGCTGCAGCCCAAACCCAAAAGGAAGCTAATAGAAGGAATTGGGAAGAGAGTTGGGAAGAGGTTGCGTGCCTGATTAAGCGCATATGCCTACGCGTCCCTTGTATGTCACGTTGCCTCGGGCTTGACTGGCGCGGGCTTGACTGGGTGATGATCTGGGCGCTGAACTTCTACCCTTTGTTTCTTTGGTTGTGGTGGCCGTAGACCGTTGGCCGTTTGTACTGGGGAGAGTGGCGGAGAACGGCGGCACTCACGGTTTACCGTTCCAAAGGTAGGAAGTGAGGAGAATTGAGGTTTTTTCCGGACGTGAATTTGAGAGAGTGTTGGGGAGAACACGCCAGAGCGTCTCCTCTCGGTGTTCGGCAAGGCTGAGGAGACAGAGGTTACTGACTTTGTTACCGGACTTGGCTCCTTCTGGGATTGCCCTCTATGTATGCTACCCTGCGTGACGTGGCGGTGTAGCTGCTGCCGTACCTAGCTCCTCTGCTGCGCGTCTGCACAGGCACGCAGTTCCAAGATAATGGCCACCAGCCCAGGAGCAGGATCAAGAAATCTCTTGGCGTGGGTATGCCACCACACCACCCCACCGCAACCCGGGGGAACCTCCATTGTGTCCAGAAGACCGCCGGTTCGGTTTGGGCCCGTTCCGTCCCGACCGCCGCATTATGAAGTTAAAAGTTTCTCGATGTATCCTATAAAATAAAATACTTCACGTTTTATAAATATGGGACATTAAGCTTTTGGGTGAAGGGTTTTGTCTTGTTGAGCAACAGGCGTGGCTCCCTCTGCAGATCTGTACAGCCCCAAGGTGGCGAACGTAGCCCTGAGGAACCCATCCCGCCACACAGGCCTCTTGCCACTTTTGGTGCTCGCCTTCTTAGGATGAAACTTGCTAGGTTAGCGGGTGCCGTCGCTGCTGTATGTGATCGTTCCGTTTTGAACGGTCGTACATACTGTCCGTACAAGCCAGGGTCGGGTACAGCTTTTGTGAAGTATCAAAAAATAATATAGATCTTGTCCATTTTGTACATGTGCTGTATGTGCCTGTGGCGTCTAGGCGCATAGGAGTAAGTGAGCATGTCCATGCCTGTGTGTTTATGTCTGTATGGTTGTATGTATAGAGTATAATCTTGAAGCTCCTAGTACTGTGCGAGTGATGCGAATGTTCTTGGTGTGCCACCTGCGCGGCTGCCGGGATCCGGACTTGTTATCAACTCGGAATCACAGGAGTTATTGGGAGAGAGACTCCATTGCGAATATGCATAGAGCATAACGCTTTTGTACCGTAATCAAAATCATAGGAGGGGCAGCGCGACTTGGTGGACTTGGTGGATGGGTTTTGCAGACTACTGTGCCCTTGTGTACTCTCTTATGTACGCGCGTGTGCGTGTGCACCGTATGCAACGGCACGAGTATGTCCCAAGTCTCCCAAGTCTCCCGGCCGAACTGGGCCAGGATTTCACCGTTTGCCGTTGGCTCGTTGGTCCGGCCCCGGCGTCGGACGTGCAGATAAGAGGGTGTGAAAGCTTGGGTGTTGCAGTCCGCGGCCAGCGACTTGTTAACCCCACCTTGTCGACCCCTGATCTGCCGCTAGAGATGTGGCGAACCCTACGCGGCGCAGATGAAGTGAGTGTGGTTGTGTTGTGTCCTAGGTGGCCCCGGGTGGAGATGTCTCCAGGGGGGGTCAGGAGGACCCCAGCCTGGTCTGGTCTGGGATGACGGACGACAGGGTGCCTTATGTCCCAGACTGTCCCATGTCGTCCGTATGTGTGCGTGTGCGTGCGTATGTGTGTATTGTGTGTTTGGTGTGTATTTGTCACATATCGATCCGGGGCCCTGACGCTGGTCAGGGGCACCTGTGTGCGTGGCTGGTTGTCTCGTGTGTGTTCTCGGCCGCGTAGATGTGTGTATCGATCGGCAACGTAGAGATGCTCGTCACGGTGGCACGGTAGCCACCGCGGGTCACCGCGAGCATCTTTAGCACCACCACCACCACCACCACTCTGGGTGGTATCTCGATGAGAAAACAGTAATACTCGTTTTTTCGCTTCGTGCAGAGCCGCAGAGAAGTTCTGTGAGGCCATTTACCCGTCCTTCGGAGCGGTCGGTGGAGGGGTTGAGGAAAGCGGCAAAAGTATTGTCGCGTACGCCTATGCTTGCTCTTGTGTGCATACGTGTGTGTGTATGTGTGTGTCTCTGGCACGACGCGATTCCTACAACGGTCGATTGCACTAGTCTTTTAAGCAGCGGCGAGGCAGTCAGCCTGGGGTAATTCTACCAGGCAAGGGCTCCGTAGCGGCGACGGCGTGGTGGCCAGAGTTCATGGGGGGTTCTCATGCCATGTCCCTCCGGCTGCTTGGCTTTGCATATGCGCATGGCTTTGTTTCTGTGCTGCGCTCAGATAGGGCCAAAAGTTTTGGATTTGGATTTACCTGGATCTGTGAATCATTTATAAGATCTGAGTGGGATCTAGTTGCGGTGGTCTTTCCCCCACACACAACTCCACAATCTAGCTTGCTTGGCACACTCTCGAATTGTTTCATTGCTCGTCGCGTTGTGTCAGAATCCTCGTACTCGGGATGCAGGTGTGGCTCATGCTCGTTTTGTCGTACTGTACTGCCTGTAAATGGATATTTTTTCTGCCGCAACCTAATGTTTTGGCGGGCCGAGGGGCGAAGGAGGGTGTTGCAGCAGAAGCACCAAGCACAGCAGTGTTATGTGTCGCGATTCTCTGCTGGACCCCGACACATACATACGTACATATAGACGGACAGGCCGCCTCTTCACGTGCATACTTGCAAATCACACTTGCACACCCGTCCTTTAACGACAGCAATCCCCGGGGTAAAGCCGGAGGAACGACCGGGTCTTATCGAAACAGTCGTACACACATCTGGAAAGAAGGGCCCCCGTCGCGAGTCTTGTGAGTTGGCGTTCGTTGGAACACCAAGAAATGACCGTTTAACTCATTTGAAAGCAGTATAGGATCGGAAGTATTTAGCAGTACTACCGCTTACCCGCGGAGCTCAAACAGCTCGAGTGCAACGCGCTAACGAACGCCAGGCACCCGTGCAACCCTGTGGGCCTTATTTCTGTGGGCCAAGGAAGTCTTAAGCCCGAAGACGGCTGCGTGCAGCCCGAGTTATGCGCACGGAGACGAGGATTGTCAAATCTAATCTGCTATGCAACCGGAGTAGTAGTTACAGTGATTGTGAGGACAGCCGCAGAAACCTAAACTTCTGCTCGTCCAACCCAGTCAGCGCCTCGTCGTAATACGCAAACATCCCCCGTGATGGCGCGTTGGACCTTTTTTGTTATCTGTACTTAGCTTAGCTTTATCAACATAACATAATATCGCAAGGAAGCCCTGCACACCGCTCAAGCTTGGACACAGACTGCACCAGCAGCGTTATCTTTCCCTCCTCCGCTAACTCTGCCAAGCTCCTTAAGGTCACTTCTCCAAGGACATGTAAAATATTTTTTTGTGTAGCGTCTTCTCTTGTTGCTTTGATTCTCTCAACGTTTGCAATCGCCCGTTGGATCTCTTCAGGTTCCACCGTGGTAACTACCTTCACTAGCAAGTGCAAACATCAGGCACCACCGCGCTAAGCGCGCAGCAACATCCACTCTCCTTCGAGAAAGGTATTAAGAGCTTTGTTTATCAGGTAATAGGAATATCGCATCAGGGAAGGTACAAGATGGCAACTTCCAAAGAGGAACGAGACGAGGTCGCTCAGGTGAGAAGGAGTCATCATCACCATAACCCAGATAGACTGTAGGTGCGGTGCCATCCGTTTTCTACATGTTTATTGCATCGCGCGCTTAAAGCTTCGGGGGCAGGGAAGCACCGATTTTGGATTTGGATTAGCGGGGATTCTACTACAAGCATGGGGTTCCGGAAACGGAATTTCTGCGGGTCCCCGTTCCTCATGCTTGTGGAGCGTTTCCCTAGGGCCTTTTTTTGTGCGTGTGACGAGGGACACAGGAATCCCCTGATTACTGGAGAAAGCATTGCACTTGTGAGCGGTTCATACAAGTGTGACCCACGGGTCGTGTGGTTCGATTGTGCACATAGCTCCGACGCGAAAAGGACATCGTAAGTCACTTCGATTCAAGTTAGTTCATATTTTTCACAAGCACCGTAATCATGTTGTTTATTTAAAGCCTTGGGATGCGCCGTTGCATAGGCGGGCCGCTGCTGATGTATTTTGCCGTTTCAGCGATGGCGCACACCTGTTGCCGGACGCTCGTTCTTTGAACACTATGGGCATAACCCGCATTAAATTAATTTTATCCATCTTTTGAACAGGAAATGTTTGGCAAGACGTTTGATGAGTGCGAGAGCATGGAGCGAATCAGAGTGAGTAATGCAGGTTTTGAAGCGTGTCGCTGCGGCGCCTGACTGAGCGTTTACGTCTTGATTGCACGTATGGCTTATTTGCATATAAATCATAATTGCATGTACGCCTTATTTGCACGACGTCTTTACTATAAAATGCAACCTGAGGTCCGCAGCAGCACATCGCGCGACCTCCCGTTATTTTATCTCAGCAGCATCTCTTCGCACACCCAACGGGCTTCGACTGCGGTTAATGCGAACTATAAGTGGTTTAAATTGAGTACATTTTCTGTAAGATGTGATTATTCCTCCTGAACTTTCAAAGGCTGCGAATGGAGAGGAGGACGGGAACTTGTACAAGTATGTTGCGCGTCGAAGACCATCTTCCACTTTCTGTTGCGGGTTCCCCTCAAACGAACACTGGATTGTATGCCTCCAATAATCACCTAGCCTGTTTTCCAATTCAGCACATTTTACTATCGCTCCTGTTTTCCTACCAGGTCGGCGCCCACATCGGCGGCAAACGAGGCGGTGGACGTATCCACGAGATGGCTGAGGAAAAGAAGCAGCAAGCGCGCGAGGGCATGGGGGAGGAGGAGGGCGAGGGGGAGGAAGAGGAGGAGGAAATGGGAGAGGAGGAAGGAGCGGAGGGCGAGGAGCAGGAGGGACGTGCGACAGCTAAGAAGCAGGGCGAGGGAAAGATGCGGAGGAAGGGACGGGCCAAGTAGGCCGTCATCGAGGGCTGCCGCGGGCTAAACGACGCTTGGCAATTTGCTTTTGAGTCAGTTTTTTGGGCAGCTGTAGTTTCGTAAGGGTAGCATTGCCTCCAGGGAGGGCGCAGGGGAGGGCTGGCAGGTCGCGCATGGCAGGGACAAAAAAGCGGAAGCCGTAAATTTGTGCCTGTTGGTTGGCTGGCTGGCTGGCTGGTTGGTTGGTTGGCTGGTTGGTTGGTTGGCTGGTTGGTTGGTTGGACCGTACAACTATTTTCAACTGTACGAGGGACGGATGTCCATCCTGTTAGCTTGTTGAGGTACAGTGTTGCCCCGTGGCCTCTACAGTGGTGCGGCCTGTCTAGGGACCATTCCTCATGGGGCCGTGTGAAAAGGAGTAAGAACGAGTTAATGATGCCCGTTAATGTACGGAAAAAGCCACGTAGGCGGGCGAGGAGCACATCTTTTTTGTGTAGTCGCGGTATGCAATATTCTGTGATGTTAATGAACGCCGGTATCGTTGACGGTTGCTAGTTGATGGCTGCATCCAATCGGCTTGGATTTTGTTTCGCTCGCGAACGCGTTGATTGAGAGAGAAGGGTTACTTGCCTTTCTGAATACATTTTGATGCGCAATTTCGTCCGGATGAGCGCTTCCAAATACATCTGTACGAATTCGCACAATTTGTACGATATGCCGTGCACACGGCCATTGCCGCTCGTGCCATTATTAGACCACCGACCTCGCATCATCACTGCACTCTCCTAAGCACAGGCCATCATCCCCAACAAAATGTACAAGGCAAAGCAAACCAAACTGAAGCTCAACAGCCTCGCCAAGAAAGGGGGCACACACAACCGTGGGGGACTGGAGGGGTCGCGAGGGAGAGAGGGGAGCCGGGTATTGAGCCATGGGATTAGCCACTAAGAGCCCCGAGGCACGTGAACAAGTACATCAATCCCCCCCTGGGTCTACAGGCTTTTAGGGTCTCAAAGGTCTCAAAAAAAGCCCTCGGGCTCGAGCCCCCCATGGCCGCTACCTGGAGCTATATGATGCGGTTTAGCTACAGCTGCAGCTCGGTTTAGCTACAGCAGTAGCATAGTGTTGAAGCAGTAGCAGTAGCAGTAGCAAGGAGGTTACAGGATACCATGTTTTTCGTAAAACGGCAGCGGATAATGCAGCAGCTGGTAATGGTGGTGGTGGTGGTGGTGGTGGTGATGGTGGTGGTGCTGATGGTGATGGTGGTATCGCTTCTGACAGCAGCGCGCTGTGAAAACTGCGGATTCAATAATTCACGTTTGTATTCTTAGGATCCATTCGTATTCTTCGTATTCTTTGTAGGATTCAAGAACCCAAACGATAACCATCTCTTCGGAAATAGAGCCGTAGGCCCCCTCAAATAGAACAAGTGATTCAGTGCACATTTTATGTGTGTATGTGTGTATGTGTGTATGTGTGTATGTGTGTATGTGTGTATGTGTGTATGTGTGTATGTGTGTATGTGTGTATGTGTGTATGTGTGTATGTGTGTATGTGTGTATGTGTGTATGTGTGTATGTGTGTATGTGTGTATGTGTGTATGTGTGTATGTGTGTATGTGTGTATGTGTGTATGTGTGTATGTGTGTATGTGTGTATGTGTGTATGTGTGTATGTGTGTATGTGTGTATGTGTGTATGTGTGTATGTGTGTATGTGTGTATGTGTGTATGTGTGTATGTGTGTATGTGTGTATGTGTGTATGTGTGTATGTGTGTATGTGTGTATGTGTGTATGTGTGTATGTGTGTATGTGTGTATGTGTGTATGTGTGTATGTGTGTATGTGTGTATGTGTGTATGTGTGTATGTGTGTATGTGTGTATGTGTGTATGTGTGTATGTGTGTATGTGTGTATGTGTGTATGTGTGTAACTGTTGGTATTGCTGTGTACGCTGGTGTACACGCTGATGTGTCCGAGGGCACATGTGTCCGAGGGAGCACCGGCGGTACAGTGGTAGCATAGGTCCTTGCCACGAGCCGAAGGCCCAAGGGCAAATACTTCAACGCCTAAAAGCCACCACGGAGAAAAAAGGCCTCGAGCCCATGAGCCTTTCCGTTTGGTAACCTACCGACAGCACGCGCTACCTCCTCCAAGGTGAAAGGCTCATTCAGGATGCTAGCTGCCCGTGCCCTCCTGTCCATGACGTTCCGACATGCTTGCCAAGCACCCTCTCCCAAAGGGGCCCCAAAAAGGAGATATAGTTACGGAGCCGACGTGCACCTTCAACACCCATTTCCCCAACTCCTGCGTTTAACAATGTGCCTAAGTGATCCCAAAAAATACATGCAAGTCATTAATGCACAACGCCCCCTGAGTTGCCCTCCCAAGACCCGCCATATAATGCACGCTGGTCGTGCCTGCACTAACCACAAACTCACGCATTCTCCCTGCATCATATGCTGCTCAGGCGCAACGTTTGGCACGATTCATTGCGTTGCGTGCCTCGCAGGACGCTTCCCACGAAGGACCTGACGTATTCTCGACCTTGCCAGGCCCCAAAACCGCACCCTGCAAGCAAGCATGTGTTGCCCGGCGCTTTGGCATTCCTCATCCCATCATAACGCACCATCCCTCGCTTGCATACCCTCAGGCCTGCGTCCCGCAAATACTCCACTGACTCCGTGCTGTCGCAGGTCCCATTCGATAGGTCCGTGATCACCCCATTTCGTGCGTGCATGACCTGAGATCCATCAGTGAACAGAGCAGCATGGTCACGGTAACGGGAAATCTCAAACACACTAGCGTCACTGGACGGTGGTCAGTCGGGAACCAACCATCTGGCGCGAGTAGCTCACCCACTCGCATCCGAAAGGCACGACGGAGAACACTGGCTGAAGCGACAAAAATGATCGATCATGCTCCCACCTGCTTCACCCTTGGGGAAGGTCAGACGACCCTCCAACTCCCCCAGGAACACGGCCATTTAACACCAGTAGTCCCTGTGACCGGCACAGGGCACCCAACTGGTGCCCAGCAAAATTGCAGACGAAGTCCTCACTCCTAGGTTCAGGCACGTCTACGTAGCTCTGAGGGTCCGCGTCCCCCGGCAAGCCCATGAACTCCCGCAGTGCCGTCAGCTGGTCTAAATCTGGAACATCACTAAAGTACCCGGGCAGGTCATGGGTCACTAAGCGAAACCCAAACCCTAAAGCACCCTTGCATGCCCTGTCCTGTTCTGTCCTGCTGACCTATCTCTTGCTTTTATGACACCGGCGCGTTCGCCTAGGACAAGTCGGGTGTCGGCTTCCTTGAAGCCGGAAAAAGGGCGGGGGCCCCCTGCATCCGTACAGGCCGGTAGCTAGGGTAGTGTCAACGTGGTGGGAGCTGTACTTGTTGCAGCAGTGCTGATGCTGTGGGAGCTATGCTTGTCAGAGCGCGGGAGGCAGGAAGCCGGTGCTCATAACCTGTTGAAGAGACGGTGTCTCTCTGGAACCTAGCAGACACGGCTAAGAGTCATTGGCCGTTACACGCAGTCTGGAGGCCCGCGACCTGTCACCGACAGCCCCTTGCTTGGGCGTAAACATACGAGTCTGAGGTGCCGTTACCGGCACACAGCAGGGGCTCGGCCGCCAAGTCCGCAGTCCAGGCCTGCTGCTCAACGCTCAGCAGACACAATAGGCTTTGCGGTCTGGTGCCGCAGCCATAACACACACGGAAAAACATCGCCGTACAGCACCGTACGCACTGCCTACGGCGCCCCTCCAGGCATTTACCCGCCTGCTCACGCGCCCTTGGCGCCACCCTCAAAGCCTAGCTCGACACACTTCCCAAAAGCCCGCAGCACTTTCCGGTGCTGTCTGTGATGTTTATATCCCCCAAGCGCCACCGGCTTCAGCAATCGGCCCCACAGCCGCCGCGGCACACTGCCATTGGCCCAAGTAATTGTACAAACGAGCAGCTTGCGGACTTCATAGAGAAATAAAATCAAATTTGTCGGCCTGCTGGTGGCAAATCGGAATGCCCGTGCGGGCAAATGATAACACAAGCTGGGTGTTCGAGTTATCATACGCCGGAATCTCAGAACAGAAACACGGCCACACGGACATGGCCAATCCTACAGAGCGGGGCCCCCCTGGGCGCTTCGCATTGGGGCCCCGCCCAAAAAACCTAGCCAACACACAAAGGTATCAAGTGGAGACCCCGGACCCAGCTAGCACAGCGGCACCTGTCCATGCATGACAAGAGAAAGAGGACAGATTGGGACAGATAGGACCTCGCAACAATCAAAATGTAATCCGATCTGCCTGGATCGAACAGGCCCCCTAAGAATTTCAACAACGATTACATTCCTTCGCTCTTCCAGCTGAGCTAAGATCGGGAGCAGACATGAATACGTAATTAAAGCGTGATATGTAATCTAGCTAGATTATTCAGGTGCACGCCGAATGTGCTTGAGTACACGTCTTAAGCGTGTAAGTATTTAACAAGCAACGTAGTAAAGTAATAATAAAAGTAATAATAATCTCAATTCCAGGGCCATGAACCCCGCCCAGCATGCATTAAGGGATGAAAGTGTTGAGGGCAGAATTGTGTGGTATCTGCATGTTATGTGGTATCAGCATATTGCCTGTCTGTTCCGAAACCGTCCAGGAGCATGTGTGATTGGCGTTCTGCCAAACTTTCTTCTGGCGCCCTCTTCAGGTACCCTCTGGCAAATGTCTCGACTGCACGTGCTGTGCTCGGAATTAGCTCGGGTCCTCATGCAGCAAGGCTAAGCTCGTCGTGATTCATCACCCATCATGACGTACTAATAGGGAATCGAGCCTTCGACCGCGCAATCACAAAGTCCCTGTCGCTGGGAAAATTGTTTGGGAAATTAATTCCCCACCTTCTTTGAACGATTTCCATCATCTTTGATAATTCCCAGATAATATACCGGTGCAGAAGTCTGGACACAAGTATTGTGAGCCAGGGGCCCCCCTGGATGGTCAGTAAGCCGTTAGGGTGGTGATAAGTATAAGTATGGATGTTGAGATCCTCTCCCGCTCCCCTGGGCTCGATGCGCCTGCGTGTGATGTACCCACTTTGGGGTTTTTCCCCTAAAGGGGAACTTTAGTGCTCTTCTTCTTCTTCCCCAAAGGGGAACCCCTACTAGGAGGAAGACTTCCCCTTCTTGTGTCTCTGCTGGATACATGTATTCTAATCCAACGTGTGTACGGTGCTCCCTACAGTCTCTTAATCATGGAGCTTTGGAGGGTCCCTTGATTCTAGAGGGCCCTAGAGGGCGTATCACCAGAATGCATAAGGGCCTCTGTCCCCCTTCGCAATCCACAATCCTACTGCGTCCCCATGCATTGCAAAACAGGCTGAATCACCAAGCTCATGGCCTAATGGGTAAATTAGGAAAACAGATACGCCTTAAACGCACAAAGCGCGAAGGCCTTCGACCGTGCGTTACGTTTAAGTCAAGATTTCGTGGTCTCAACCAGCGCTTCACAAACTTGTAGCTTTGTCAATTGGTCCAAAAGCCAAGTTCGTTCGGGGCTTTGCCTCTAACGTAGTTTAGCCTTCTTTGTTAGGTTCCCCTACCGGAATGAATGTAGTTTATAAAATTTAAAAATAGGCTATAAACAGATTCAGGTACGCGCGCCATACCTTCAACTGCGTAAGGGAACAAACTTTGGAAACCCTTGAGCGGATGAACTAGAGGGAACCCAAAGGCTTTTCTGTCCCCTTTGTTTCCCTTTAGGGGACGGAGAACGAGTTTGGTGGTCCCCTTTGTTCCCATTTAGGGGCATAAAAGTTAACTAAAGTACTTGTGTATAAACGCGATTTTTATTAGTACGTAAGCTTGCCGGGGTACCCATCATGGCAGGCTAGCGCTGCTCCCATCACACTGGCCGCGCCTGCCAGGAGAGAGTCGCAGGGCGCAATGCTATCCCATGTCCGGCACTAAACATTTCTTCCTTGGCTATTTTTTGTAAGTTTATGTCTTCCTTCGTGCCTTGGTCTAGTTTTCTTTGGTCAGCAGAACGGTCGTTTTCACTTAGGGAATCATTCTATAAGGCCACGGCTCAACAGGTTGCTCGATATAACACATCATGCATCAGGATATGCTGCCTTCCCCCCCTTAACAAGGGCCTACTTGTTAAAAATGGCACATCAGTCCCTGCATGAGACTGCTGCCCCTCTGTTCACCAATATCGTTTCTCGTGTGCCTGGAGAGCTGATTACGGCTGCAGGCGCCTACGATGTCACCCCTCCCATCCTGCACCCCGTTCCAGGGTCACTTTTATTTTATTTGTAAATCGTAAATAAGAAAGATTTCCTGCACCACAGCACATTGAGGCAGCTCGAATACATACCGCTTTGCCACTCCATACATCGGCAGCGGGTTCAGAGAGATGTCCAGACGGGGCCCCTCAGGGTCTGGGTGTGCAGCTGGCATCTTACATGTCGGGGGGCGAAGGTCGCTTAACCAACCTCTTTTGAAAGCCCGCGGCCCACATTTACGCCGAGACAATTTAAATAAATTTAATGAATCCGGAACCTCTTTTTTGACTATCGAAGCCAAATCAAGCTTGCGGTTCGCGATGCCAAGCACGGCCGCCTGAACTAAAGGCCTCCGTGTGTGCATACCGATGTTGTTACAGCTATACCACCCTGTAACAACATACGGAGGTTCTTAGATCCCAAAAGTACCCCTTCTCCCAAAGGACGCCCTTTCGACAACCTCCCGACTTGCTAGTCGTCATCTCGGGGTTTTCTGCGCAGGCTGGCAGGGTGTGCCAGATCCGTCCCCCTTCCCGCGACGACATCATGCAACAATCGAATGTCGACTGACTGAACGTCGTGTGTGCTACCTACCTATGATGTAATAATGACTTGAACGCTTCATCACGCTGACATCGCAGCGTCACCAACAACACCCCCCTCGCAAAGCGAAATCCAATTCAATGCAACCGCAAAAAACTACCCAGAAAAATGACCGGCACCAAAATATATTTGAAGATTTCCCCCAGAGCTTCCTCGATCAACCGCTAATCGATGTATATGCCCATGACCGTGTGGCTGTGGTCGTGGGGCTTAGCTCTTTCCAAACAACCGCTACGTCGTACATTTCCGTACGGACTGTACGGACTGTACCAGCTGGAATCACTGTAAGACGGGCCAAGGTTCCGTTAAGTCATACTGAGGAAATGAAAAATCAATAGACTTGGGACAACAGCCGAGGACTGTGTATGGGTGAGTCGATCAAGCCGACGGTGTGCCGCCGCGGGCGCAGCGGGCTATCAGTAAGTGCGGCGCATGGGCTGCACGACCGTGCCGACGCTCCACCGTCGCTGCCGCTGCCGCGGCCGCCGCCGCCGCCCTCACTCTCCACCAAGTGCCGTCGAAGCGCCGCCGCCAGCGCCAGCGGTGGTACGATAGGCGGTGGCGGCGACAGCAGCGGCGGCGATCGCTGATTGGAAAGGTCCGTACTGGACGCCGATGCTGACGGCGGCCGCCGCATCTGGCCATCCACGTAACTCCAGGGAAGGGCCGGTCCCGCGGCGGCGGCGGCGGCGGCTGCGGCCAGATCAGCCATGTCGGAAAGAAGCGCGGAGGCTTGTGGCGGGGCTCCGGCGCCGGCGGTGCTTGCCGCCGCCGCCGCCGCCGATGACGACACGTACGACGCCAACGACAGCGCCGACGCGTCGGAATCCACCGTGTGCCCCGCCAGCGGCAGCCTTGGGTGGCTGACAGGCATTCGTACGACGCTGTTGCTTGAGCTATTGCTTGAGCTGCTGCGGCCGCTACCGCCGCCGCCAACAAAGTGAGCGTTGCCGCCACTGGCGGCAACGGCGGTGGTAGTTGTCGTACGCGCCAACGGTCGCGGCGGGCGGCCAGCCACCAGACGGTCCAGGGACGCTCCATGCGCCTCCATGACGACCTCTCCACTTCCGGTGCCACTGCCATCGTCAGACGAAGACCTAGATACAGATCCAGATCTTGATACAGATCCAGACCTAGATACAGATCCATGTACGGCATACAATGGCGGTACGACGGCTGCAGCGGTGGTGGTAGTAGTAGTTGTAGCAGGCACAAGATGTAATGACGAAGACGTAGCGAAGGAGGCAAAACCCGACAGGGGCGTGAGGCCGTCGGAAATGCGGGTGGTGTGGGACGCCCCAGTGGGGCTGCGTGACGGCGGTCTGGGGCTGCGTGACTGCGGGCTGATATACGGCGTCCTCAGCCCGCCGTCGTCCACGCGGCCGGCGGAGACCCGGCTCGGGGCCCATCCGCCGCCGCGCTTGCCGCCGCCTGGGAACTCAAATCCCACGTGCGTGAGATCGGGGCTCACAGAGCCGTCATCTGTGTAAATGAGGAAAGAATCAGAAGCCGATCTAGAGCCGTCGCTGCCGGCGCTTCCGTCGCCGACTTGTACGACTCGCCCAGAACCGACTGCGTCGCTCGCGGAGTGCGGCCGACGGCGCGCGCTGACGCCGGCAGCGGCGGCGGCCGCCGCCGCCGCCGCCACGGCGGCGGCAGCGGAGATGCCCGTACTAGCAGCCAGACTGATGTCGGTTAAGTACGACTGTACGGTGGAGGATGACGCGTTGGGCGTGCCGCCGCTCCCACGGGGATGACGTACGACAGGCGTAAGGCTTGGCCGCCGGGGCGGCGGCCGGGGTAGAAGCAGCGGCGGGAAGAAGTCGCCGGCGACGCGCGACGAGGGTCCTGATTCCAGGGAGGGCAGTCCGCAGCTGGAATGTGCCCGGCGACGGCTCGTGGAAGCCAGTGGGGTCGCGGACGACGGCCGAAGCGACGGCAGCTGCGGTAACGAAGCTCTTCCCGGGGATCCCGACGTCGACGGACGGCTGCTGCAAACAGGACTCAAAATCATTTGTATTGGCAACCGCAGCTGCGGCAGCTGCGGCCGACTGCTCCGTACAGCGTACGATACCCGGTCCTCCGCCGCCGCCGGCGGCGCCGCCGTCACCCCTGGCTCCCAGTCCTCCTCCTCCGCCGCCGCCGCCTGATCTTCCTCCTCATCCGACCGCTGTGCCAACGCTGCCTCCTCATCGCCCTCCTCTACCGTACCCAGACTGTCGTACAATGGATCCACCGCCGACACAACCTCAAACAAATGCCTCTGCCGCTGGTGCTCCTCATTCCCCCCCTCGTACCCGTCCACTTCTTCCTCTTCATCGCTCGTGACGCCGCTTCCACCGCCATGGCTACTAGCGGCGATACTAGTGCGCTGGGTGCTAATGCGGGATGCCCCAGGAGCTCCGACCCATGGGTCAGATCCGAACCACGGGTCGCCAGCCATTGCTGAGTGTTCATCGTCAACTGCGCCCGGATCAGCACCAGTGACCCGTGGGTCAGCAGCGGTGATCCACGGGGCTGTAGCAGCATCAACGGGAACAGTAGCAGCGGTGCCTTCTGGGTTAGAAATGTCAGTCGGCAGACCAGCAGTGACCCGTGGGTCACAGGGCTTCTCCTGCGTCAGCGCCAAGGGGAACTCTTCGCGGGCTGGAAGCCCAGTGCTACTGCTGCTGCTGCTGCTACTGCTCTGAGCGGCCACCATGGCAGAGGCCGCGGATGAGCCGCCGCCTTCAACGCTGCCCCGCGATCTGATCATTACTTGAGACGAGCCGATGGTTCTTAGAAGGCCGCCACTGCTCTCCTCCGTTATAGTGGACAAGCACCGCATGCCGCCGGCGGCGGCACCGACGCCGCCGAAGCTTTCGATGGTTCTTAGAGGGCCGACACCGCCGCTGACGCTGACGCCAAGGCCGCCTAGTTCGTACTGCGGCTCCTCCCAACCGTACGGCTCCTCAGGTGCGTAACCGCTAGGTTCGTCCATTGGCGGCCGCGGCTCGGGCAACCGCGGCGTGTTGTCGTACAGCAGCGCCGCCAGCCGGCTGCCGGCGGCGTGCGGCTGCTCCGGCCTGGTGCTAATCCCGCTGGTTCGCAGCGCGTCGGCTACGGCGGCGGCTGTAGCAACAGCTGTAGCAACTGGATTTGTTGGCCCCATCTGGAGCCGCCGCAACAGCGCCCCTGGCAATAGCTGCATACTCTTCCTTCCCGACACGCTAAGTACCGTACCGCTACTGCCACCACTGAAGCTGTATCTGCCGCTGCCGGTGCCGGCGGCGCCGCCGGTCCCGCCGACCCAGGCGACCGCGAGATCTCGAACGGTGCGTGTGGCGCCCGTCAGCCGTAGCACGCCGCCGTCAAGGCTTGCCGTACGGCCAGGCGCCGGCGGCGCTGCCGGAGGTAGCAGCGGCGGCGATGGCGGCGCCGCCGCCGCCGCAGCCGCAGATCTCGCACCCTGTGACGCTCCTTGCGAAGCGGTGGACGCTGAAGAGTTGACGGAAATGCTGGCGCCCCGGGACGCCGGCGCCGGGGCCGCCGGCACCGCCGCCGGGGCCGCCGCCGCCGCGGCTTCAGCCGCCGCCGCCGCTGCCGCCTTCCGAAGGTCCACCGCCAAGCCTGGATTGGAATCCGCCGCGTCCTCCGCGGCTCGCATCATCCGTAGCGTGCGTCGCATGGTACCGACACGCTCCGAAACCGCATCTTTGGCGGCGCTGACGGAGGCGACGCGTGACGCAAGGAACTCGGAGCGCGCCGCCGCCAGCTCCGCCAGCGGCGCGGCGACGACGTCAAGGAATCGTGACAGGTCGCTCGCGGAGATGGTCAACAGGCGTGTGGCGCGGCGAGCAATAACAGTGCAAGGGTACGGCGGTGGTACGACAGGCGCGGGTCCGCGCCCGCGGGCCTTACGAGTCCTGGGAGCATCGTCATCCTGCGGCGGCGGGGTTCCATGCAAGGGACCAGAATCAGTGAAGGCAGGCACTCAGGTTAACTGCCGTACCGCCTTGGTCGTACAGTTCCCGCCGCGCCAGTAAAGCGACTAGCGGCTGCGCTGTTGCCGCCGCCGCCGAGACTGGTGTACTGCTCCCCACAAACAACACTGAAGCCAGACATACATGCATACATCCACATATGCACACATGCATACATATTCCTAAAGCTTGAAGTCCGAATAAATCGAGGCTGTACGATGCAAGCGCCGTACACGGCTTACCTCGCCTGCCGTCACCTGCGAGGCCACTGCCTGTTGCTGCTGCTGCTGTTGCGGATGCGGCAGTAGCGGCGGCGACGGCAACGACGGTGCCGGTAGCGGCGGCGGCGCTGCGGGCGCCGGCGGCAACAATGGCTGCTGCTGCTGGGGTGGCGGCGGTGGCGGCGGCGGCGCCGC